TCCTTCCTTCCTTCCTTCCTTCCTTCCTTCCTTCCTTCCTTCCTTCCTTCCTTCCTTTCTTTCTGATCTAATGATTTCTGTGACTTCATTTTCTTTCATTCTCTAGGGCATTATTTAGAGAGCTCCTGGTGATTTGCCACATGACTTTTCTCTGATCCTCTCAGTATCTTAGATGTTACTTATCTGACTGGTGTCTGTTTGTCTTGATTGGAATGAGTTGTCATTCTTGTTATTCCCATGTAAACAGTACCTCTCTCCATGGTCTGTCAAGATTTTCAGTTTGTCTGTGACTTGCCTGGTTGTAGTTTTCTTTTTCTTAGAATCTGGGGGTTGCTCCAGTTAGGCCTTTTCTGCTTCTGAGTTTGTATCTTACCTTGCAGTCCAGAATACTTTGCACTCACTGTGTTGCATAGACTGGTCTTGAAGTGATTATTCCCCTGCCTCAGCCTCATAAAGTACTGGATTTATAGGCATGAGCCTCCATGCTAAGTCAAGTCAGCTCTTTTAAAAGATTAGATAGGACATTTTTGACTCTTATTTCTTTTCTTTTCCTCCCCCACTCACATTCTCTTGGAGTTGTAGCTTACCTTTAAATGTTCTTTTTTTAAAAAAATTTAATCAGTTTTCTACTTCTCAAGCATTTAGATTCTTTCTTAGTCTCTCAGGAAATGTACAGATGCCTTTGCTACTATCTCACATCTGTTAACCTTACCTAGTTATTCGTCCCCCTATTCAATTATTAGGATTCCAGTTTTTAATATTTATTTGTTTCCTTTTTAAAATTTTCCCTTTCCCTGCTAAAACCCCCTATCTGTTCTCTTACGAAATTATTTTCCAAGGGCTGGAGAGATGGTACAGTGGGGAGGGCCTGCTGCTAGGATCCTGCAGGTCCTTTAGGTCTGTCATGTAATTTTTCTCACTCATCTATGCCTAGAATTAAAATGTTTGTTCTTTTGGTTGTGTCCTGTATGCCCTTCATATTCCTCTCATATTTTTCATATTTCTTGCTTACTTTGTCTAAATCTTTCCCTTTATCTTGGAGTCCCAGGAGTCTATTTTCTTGTTTTATTCCTTCTTGTTATAAGGCTTCACCTGAGTTTTCTGATTGGAATATTGAGTTTTTCAATTTCATCTTCATTGTTGCTTGTGTTATCATCAGTGTTTCTATCTTTGTTGAATTTATTTTTCAAATCCTGAATGACCTTGGTCATTTCATTCAGCTGTTTATCTGTATAATCTTGGATGTCACTCAAGTGTCCATTGTTACCATCTTGGAGTTCAGTGAAGTGTTTACTTGTGTCTTCTTCAAATCCTCAATAGTCTATGATTGTTCTTCTAAATTCTGTGTCCTGGAGTTTATCTAGGAGTTAACACTACAGAACACTTCTCTAGGACTGCTAGGTTTGATGGGAGACATGCTAGCTTGGTGACTCAGGTGGTTTTTGTTTTAGTGATTTGATCTGGGCATGTGGACTTCTTTGGTTATGTGTCTGATGTGGTAATCTGGCTTTTCTTAGACTGGCCAGTGCAGGAGATGCATGCCATGTATGAGCCCAGGTAAATCTGGTGGATGAACTGTTTAATTGGACCAGGGAAAGGTGATTCCCAAACCATGTGTGTGGAGCTAGGCCTGTTGCCGCCAGGATGGCTGTGGGTGGAGGAAGAGTGATAGAAGGAAGGAGGGTCAGCAGGTCTGAGGGTCACTGATCTGGACCTAGGTCTGCGGGTATAGAGAATGCCACAGGGCACAGGAGGTAATGGGCAAGGATGGAGGCCATAGGGAAGAGACGAGTGACTTCTCCAGCACAGGTGTTTCGGAAACAAAGAGCTTGGCTGGGCTGCTGTCTAGGACTGGGCAGGTGGCGCGAGGGGAAGGCGAAGGGAAGAAGCCACTTACTTAGGTAAGGTGGCTCACAAACCTCCAGGTATACTGTTGACCTCTCTGTCAAGAATTATGGCTGTGTTTGTATGGGATCACATCACATCCTGGTCTATTCCATCAATCCATATGCCTATTTTGGTGTCAACAGCACACATTATTCATTATTTATTATTATTTTAATTTGCAGGCTTTTTATTTCTACTTTAATCATGTTGCTTGCTATGGATATGGTTATATTATTTTAATCTTTTTTGTTGGCCTTAACAAATGATTCATATCCTTTGACTTACCATTACTCCTGAACACTCTGTTTTCCACGTGATCCATTCTATTGGTTGGGAGCTTAACTGAGGTTTTTATTTGTCTTACTGAAAAGTTAACATCCAGTATTAATTGTCTGCTTTGTTTTCATTCCTATTTGAAATGAACAAGCATTTTTATTGGCCTATTACCTACCAAGTAGTTTAGGCTGTTAGCCAGAAAGCTTCAGGGACCCTCCTGTCTCTGCTTTCCCAAAGCCATGATGCTAAGTGTGCACCACCATACCTGGATTGGTTGTTGCTGTTGTTTCTAATGTGGGCTCAGGACCAAGGTCATGCTTACATGAAGTACTTTATTAACCAAGTCAACTGTCTAGACACTAATTTGCCATTTATAGGAATAGTCTTTCTTAGATTGCCATATTTAAATAGAGAGGCTAATAGGAGTATTTTGAAATGATCAAACAGATGTGAGCAAAGAAAGAAGTTGGAAGAGATGTACTGGAATGGAAATACTAGACACTGAAACACTGTGTGGGTTTGAATGTAAGAACAGGATACCACTATAAGATGACTTTCTGGTAATCTGTCAAATATTTCCCTTGAAGTTGGACATGAAAACAAAAATGATGGAAGCAAAGTTTTATGAAGAAAAACTTAAGCTGCAACAGAAACATGATGCTGATGTGCAGAAGGTAGGGTATATACATGTATGTTGTGTGCAGAAGTTTCTGTGTTCCAGGGCTTGTGATGGGGTACACATCCATCATCTTTTTTTCTAAGCAACAAGAAAGAAATAACTCCTTATGTATTTAAGAAAAAGGTGCTTATTTTCCTTTCTTCTTCCTCATTCAAATGATAAAGCAATATTCTTGCTGGACTGAAAAATTTACCTTTGTTTAAATGAAAGTTTTAATTACAAATTTATGTAATGAAATTTTATTATAAAATATCAAAATGAAGTAGAATTATTTGAGGAATGATACATTAATGTATAGGATAAATGAATTTGAAAGATGTTGGAAGAATCATGGTGGTAGAGTCTGAAATCAGCTTCTTGGGTATATGTATCAGTTACCTTACTCATCATCATGACCAGTGCTGGATAAGAAACATGGGAGACAGGCTTTCCTTTGGTGTGTTTTTAGAGGATGCAGTCTACCACAGTGGAGAAAGTTAGGGGTGCATCTGGCTGGCGGTGGGGCTTTTCAACTGCTGGTTGTTTCATCTTTGTAGAATGGGAAGTAGGCAGGGCAAGATGTGAGTCTGGCTCATAAAACCCCAGTGACACCACTTCCTCCAGTGAGGCCCTGTCTCCCAAATGTCCCATGGTCTCTCAAAATAGTTCTACCAGGCGGGAACTAAATGTTCCAATACCTGCGCCTGTGGAAGATATTTTCTTTTTATTTTTTGCCATTTTTAAATTATTATTATTAAAAATTTTCACCTCCTCCCCTCTTCCTATTTCCCTCTCCCTCCCCCCTCCCCTCCCCTTCCTGTCCAAAGAGCAGTCAGGGTTTCCTGCCCTGTGGGAAGTCTAAGGTCCTCCCTGCTCCATCCAGGTCTAGGAAGGTGAGCATCCAAACAAACCAGGCTCCCACAAAGTCAGTCCATGCAGTAGAATCAAAACCCAGTGCCATTGTCCTTGGCTTCTCAGTCAGCCCTCCTTGTCAGCCACGTTCAGAGAGTCCGGTCTGACCACATGCTCCATCACTTCCAGTCCAGCTGGCCTTGGTGAGTTCCTATTAGATCAGCCCCACAGTCACAGTGGGTGGGCGCACCCCTTGCAGTCCTGACTTCCTTTCTCATGTTCTCTCTCCTTCTGTTTCTCATATGGACCTTGGGAGCTCAGTCCAGTGCTCTATTGTGGGTCTCTGTCTCTGTCTCCATCCATCGCCAGATGAGGGTTCTATGGTGGTATGCAAGATATTCATCAGTGTGACTATAGGATAGGACCAGTTCAGGCGTCCTCTCCTCAGCTGCTCAAGGAACAAGCTGGGGACATATCCTTGGACACCTGGGAACCCCTCTAGAGTCCAGTCTCTTGCCAACCCTAAAATGGCTCCCTTAATTAAGATATATACTTCCCTGCTCCCATATCCACTCTTCCTCCAAACCAACCATCCCATTCCCCCAAGCTCTCCCCATCCTCCCCTTCTTACTTTTCTCTCCCCATCTCCCCATACCCCCACCCCACCCCAACCCCCAAGCTCTCAACTTTTGTCTGGCAATCTTGTCTACTTCCAATATCCAGGAGGATAACTACATGTCCAAACCAAACATTCCACCCTGGGCCCTGGAGAATCATGCCCATCTCAAAATTCAAACTGTATCAGATAAACTTCAAAAGATTCCATAGCCTTACAATTCCAGTGCTGTTCAAAACTCAAAGGCTTTGTTTCCCTGAGACTCAAGGTAGTCCCTTAAATGTGAACCCTTTTTAAAGTAAAAAGTTATGTTTCCAGCATGTAATGGCATGGGGTAAACCATTTACATTCCAAAGGAGAGTAAGGGAGAATAGAAAAGAAAGATGAGACCAAAGTAACAGTGAAATTCATGAAAAAAAAGCAAGCTTTCCAACTCCATATAAGGCATGTGGGGCTGTGGTAGTATCATCTGGGCTCCATTAAACTTGGGAACCTTGCTTCTCCAGCCCAGTTGCTTGTAACACAGATTGCCTCTCTCTCGGGCCATTGTCTGGTCTCAATGATTTTCTAGAACCCGGCACAAACTTCTGTCACCTCCTCATTCTTCATAGTTGAAAAACCAGCACCACATGAACAACATCATATCTTCAAGCCAACTTCAGACGTATCCTAGCCCCTTGGGCCATAGCTGAATTGTCTCTTGTGCTTTTGAGGTTGAATCTGATAAAAGCACTTTTCTAGGTAGCCCTGTTTGAGCAGGGTTCCCCGCTGGCTCTCTGTGTTTAGTCACTCTCCTTTCAAATGAAACATCTTAGGTGATTTTGTTTTGCTCTATAACCCTGCTGGATGTGTGAAGTCTTATGCTTCATGGCTCCTTTCCTGTCTTGGTCCCACATCTATGCTTTCTCTTTAAAGGCACTGTCTCTTGAACAAACACACATTTTTGTCCCCACCTTCTCTCCTCAACTGGATTCTAACTTTGTTTTTTCTTTTTGTCAAACTGTATATTTTGTTCTGCTCTCAGTTTCTGTAAACCTGACTAAGACAGTAGTAGGTAGTATTTATGCCACATGCTGGGTTAGTTTTGCTGTCTTATAACTTTCTTTGTCTGTGACTTTCTAGTTAAGCTTCATGTAGTTTCAGGATATGAGCAGATTGCAGCCAAATTCTTTGCCAAAATAAAACATGGATGACATCTAGACCAGTTTCTGAGTGAACCATAACTCCTGATACAACATCAGACTGTCCTTTACTGTCTCCATTTTTATTGACATTCTAGTTTCCCAAACTTGAGCTGTAATAGCTTATTAATCTCTGCTTTCGGTATTCTAGGGTTTCTTTAGCCTGCTCTCAAGTCTTCCTCATCTCTCCTGTAAACCAGTTCCAAAGGTTTAAAGAACCACATGGTCAGGCTTGTCACAGCAGTGACCTCACTTCTTGGTACCAATTTATTATATTAGTTAATTTCATAGCACTAATACTAAATACCTGACAACAAACAACTCAAGAAGGGAAAATTATCGGCTCATGGTTTGTGGGGTTGTATTCCAGTAACCATAGGTTAAGACTGAGGCGAGAAAGATGAGGTAGAATGCTGCTAATAAAAAACACTAAGAAAAGGTCCTTCGGCATCGGTGAGCAGCTTTGCTTGAGCTTGGTTGAGGGTGTGGGGCTGGAAAAGAGCCGCAGCCAGACTCACTCCACTTCTCTCTGATTTTCTGTTAAGCTCCTGGGTAACATTTCTACTGTTTATTAACGCTCCTATTTTGGTTATTTACTATTTTTTGTTGTGAAGTATAAAATCATGGTTACATTTATTAAATGGTTAAATGTGAAAAACTGATAAATGTAATTGCTGTAAAAAGTTATTAAGTGTTTGAGATCTTGAGTTCATTTTGTCTTGATTCATAAAGCAGAGATAGATAGAGGTGAAGCCTGTGCTACATCACCTTTCCATACATCTAAGAGGTCTTGGCTTTAAGCAGGGAAAGACTAGCGGGACTCTGGTAGGAGGATCCCTGGACATATTCAGCTAGAAGGTGTTGCATTCCAGTGCAGTGCAGTGGTGTGGCCTACCCAACAGAGCCCGCTTCTGATGACTTCTCTCTGCCACCTGATGACAATTTAATTTCCAAGTCATGTTTTAGGGATTCATGTAATTCATTGTTCACAGTCTTTTTCAAATATATGTGAAAATTCTAAACAAAACATTTTAAAATAAGTTATTCTTGTGTGTTAACATTTTTATCAATGTATATAAAGAAAGTTTTGTATTTAGGTGGAATCGTTTATGAGATGGATAGACTTGCAAAATACTTTCCTCACATGTAGTGATATAGCCTATACTTAATTCTGTAAACTAAAGCACTGTGAATCCTTTTTGCAGATTTTAGAAAGAAAGAATAATGAACTAGAAGATTTGAAAATCTTATACAAAAAGAAACAAGCTGAAACTGAGGAAACGATAAGAAAGCTTGAGAAGAAAGGTGATGGTGCACCATGTGGATCTGCTAAGATGACTTGATTGGTTCTGATGATTTAAAATTTAAAAATAAAATTTCATTTCTGAGATTTTGTGAGCATCCATCATTAGGTGAAGTTTATATGAACTTTCATGTGATTAGGTAAAATATATGTGTTTTTTGAGGCAGAGAGAAAGAGAAAGAGAGGTGCAGTGGCAACTGGGACTGACAGAAAAATTGTAGAATATATTTCCCACTTACACATTCATTGAAAAGGAAAAAGAGAGCATTAAGTATTAAATTGTCTACATTATGAACCGAAACATCAAAATTTTCAGGTATTCACAAGAAAAATGTCATGTTTTGAGAAAATAACTTTTGTATGGTTTTTGTTTAGTTGGATATGATTTAATTCATTTGAGAGAGGAGTTCCTCACATTGGGGTAGGAGCTCTAAAGTTGTGAGTTGTGTTTGTGCACACTGTGCAAATGTTTGACCACTGAGCACATCTCTAGCCCACAGCCTTGTGGAATTTAGCACATGCTCTGATAAAGTCTCAGAATGTTTACAGATTTGGGATTAGTGAAAACGAAACCGAAGAATTAAGATTTGGTAAAGGATGAAATATACACAGTGGGTAAGAATGAAGGACCAAGAGAGACTTTAATGTAGGATGTGCCAAGTTTATTGGGTTTCTCCATAACCTAAATGTGGAGGGGTGGATAGTAATACTCTTGACAGTTAAGCAGGGGAGTTACATGTGAGAATTAAGCAGAGAATTAGGCATTTTCAGATTAATTTCCTGCTTTAAATGTTGCCAAAAGTAATTATATAGTTTCATTTTTTTCCTTCATGGTTATCAGTGATAGCTGAAGTATTCTGTTTATTTATAGGCTTTCCTTCTTGTTCTGTCTCATATTAGGCACTTCAAGCATCCTTAAGCTTGAAAAATATTTAGGCTTTAAGAAATACTGTTTCCTGCCAGGCATGGTGATGCATGCCTGTAATTCCAGCATTCCACTGGAACCTGGGGCAGGAGGATTTCAGGTTCCAAGTAACATAGTTACACAGTGGTACCCTATGACATGAATCAACAGCAGCGACAAGAACAAGAACAACAAAACAACAAGGTCCACACACATTTTAAGGGTTTTAAAATGCAGTTCAATCTTAGTTTAATATTGCCAAAATGTGTTGCACATGCTAAACATGAGTGTGCAGTCCACTTGGGTTCTTCTCCTTTACAAGTTGCATAGTTAAGATAAGAATAAAAGAAACTTCTGGGAAAATATTTCTGAAAATTCCATTTTAAAGTAAATAAAAACATAGATAAGATGTTATGTTGAAGTAAAATTATGGCTTAATGTATTTTGTAATTTAGTTGGATAAAATTTATTAAAGAAAACTTCACTTAAACTGTGTCATTTTAGCTAGAGGAAAGGAAGGAATAGCATACAGTTTTTAAAAGTAATGACATAAGATTTGAACATGATTGTAAACTGCCTGGGAAGAGCAGGATGTATCATCCTTTATTTGGTCAGCCGTACCTCCTGAGAACTTGTCCATGTGACACTGTTACGCCTTTGAATAAAGAATGAAGTTGACATATCTTTCTCCTTAATGAAAATGGCCTTATTTAAGAGGAAATTGGCAAGGAAATAGATATAATGGCCTTAGTGATTCAGTGGAGAAAAAGATCTGATTTTGTGTAAATTAGAGGGATTTCTTTCTCTCATTGCAAGGGAGGGATCTGCTTGGTGAGTGTTTTAAAAAGACAAAACCCTGTGCTCACACTCCATGAGGAGAAAGTTTAATAATGGAGGTAGTTAGGTGATGACATTGGGTAGTAAAGCCTAAAAGAAGGTGTCCTCAGGAGCCAGCAGAGAGAGGATGGTATATTTACAGTGAAGTTTGAAGATGTGGAAGAGGCAAGAGATGGATCCTGAGAGCAGCTGGACCATAGGGGCCATTTTTCTTGTCAGAGCCTTAGGCCTATATCCTTAGCATGATCCCCCATCTGGCACTCATTATGGGATCTGCACCAATATGTGGACTCTTTAAAGTGACAAAGACCACATTAGAGGAGAAATACTTGAGGCTCACATGGGAGCCAGTATCTTAAAGGCTATTGGCTGTTGGAGTACCCATAGCAGCTAACCTACTGTTTAAATGTTCTAGGGAGAGAGTGAAGACTAACTAATCAAGCTCACCTATGGTTATAGAAATGATCAAAAAGCAAGAAGTTAGAGGGATTTTAGAAAAGTAAGGCTTAGTGAAAACTTAAATTATCTATTAAATGTGTCACTACATAGATATCACCAAATTCTAATGTGGTTCCTAGAACTGGTTTAACTATATTTTCATAATTTTTGACAGTTCAGATCCTTATACGTGATTGTCAGGTTATCAGAGAAACTAAAGAAAACCAGATAACAGAACTGAAGAAGATGTGTGAGCAAAGCACAGAGTCTCTGAATAACGATTGGGAAAAAAAGGTAAGTGCCTGGAGTCAGCCACGTGACCTGTGGGGTGTGTGTGAGAGGGACAGGCTCAGCAAGTGTGGAAAATGACTAAAAACTCAAGATGAACTACAAATAGATCATTCTCAGAGTCTATAGTTTATAAATAGTTTTTGTTTTAAAGCCATATTTTTTTTACTTAGTTTTTATTTGAATTAATGTTTTGCTTTTTTTTTTTTTGTCAGAGCCAGTAGGTTTTAAGTAAAAATGGAAATAATGGTTTCAATTTGGGATTTGGGTAATTTCTCTCTTAAAATGCCAGACTGAAGTTTATAGTGCAAACTTGTTTTGGTGAGTAAAATCCTCAGTGACTAGTTCCTGCTGGTGTGCCCTGGGGAAGCACTGAGGTGTTGGTACTAGGGTTTAGGAATCATCTTGGGTCACTTGTGAGTACGAAGTAGCCCTACATTGAAAACACAGACTTCAGCCAAATAACAGATGCAGCAGTCAGATTTGAAGGGGTGCTTACATTAGTCAGAACTGCCTACATTAAAATTGTGCAAAGCCCAAGGGTCTTCCGGGTGGCCATTTCTGAGTCATCCTTACTCCTCTTGTTGAGCTTGAACCTGGAATGAGATTCTTGGGACTCTTGCTCGTCTGCTTTCTGCATCTGTTTCAGTATCTCCTTGGTCAGGTGGGGATTTACCCTGCCTGTGATAGCCTCTTGCCTTTCTCCCTGTTCACAGAGAGCTAGTCAAAAGCATCTGTTAGACTCTTTGGAACCCCCACTTTCACCATCTCATACTGCCACTGGATCCAGGGAGTGTAAGCTCCGTTCCTAGTGAGATCCGAGAGTGAGTAGCCACAGGCAGAGGCAGTGCCTCTGCCCTGAAGTTCACTGCTGAATCCTGTCCAGGCCTCCACTTTTGTCTGCTTCCTTTACCTTAGTTCACGGTGATTTTGTTAAAGCCTCATTCATTTAGTCAACATTTAGTCAATTAAGATCTCTGTATATGATACTTGCGATGTCCAATTCTTAGTTGTCAGCCTTGCTGTATATTCCACTCATAAACATGATCTTTGTGTTTGTTGTTTATATTGATTATGGAATGCTGAATATCTTATTGGAAATTTGCATAGGAGAAGAAGCATTTTTCTATTTGTATTGTACAAATGAAATAAATAATATAGTTGTTATTCATAATGAACAACAATAAGATTATTAATATCTGTTTGTGTATTTTTCAGACTTCTAATAATGTTTCATTGAGAAATGTACTGTTTATCAGATTTACTTACTTTCTACCCAAGTCAGAAAATCCTTTAGTATTTGCCCACCTATTGAAATTTTCTGTTCTGGAAAGCAGAGGAAAAAAAATGTATGCTCTTTGTGTGATATTTTTACTTGAGAGTCTTAGACTCTTGTTCAGATCACTTTATAGATATAAATAAGAATATTAGAAAACAATTTTTAATTTCAAAATAACATATTCCATGATAGTGAAAGAGTCTTGTCTTCATTGTGCAGCTTCACAATGCTGTAGCAGAAATGGAAAAGGAAAAATTTGAGCTTCAGAAGCGACATACTGAGACTATTCAGGAATTGCTGGAGGATACAAATGTGCGGCTGAATAAAATGGAGGGTGACTACATGGTGCAGACACAGTCCACGGTGAGTGATTCTCTCTTCTCTTCACATCCATCTTGTTTTCCATGTCCTCATCCCTCACTGATACATATTTTATATAAATTTGTTACTAAATTTAAAGAAAAAGCTCTACTTTCTTCCTTTATACAGTGAGAATGACAGCCCCTAGAAGTTCACTAAGATGTCAGACTCTGGATTGTTTGATGCTACCTCTGTGCCTTAATTTCTTAGAAGTGGTTGCAATTTTTTTCATTTACTTTTAGTTCATACATAACTATTTTCTTTTTAAAATTCTTTTATAGTGATATAAGTGCGATTTTTGATGACACCTGAAGTTGGTGTGATGGAAATTGGAGTGTTTCTGCTCTGACAATCTCCTAGCAGAGCTTCCTGACTGAGACCCGTACATACACAAGTCACCTGGAGAACTTGCAAATCCTTAGCAGTTTGGGTGTCTTCTTAACTCTTTGAATGTTAAGTTTTCTTATTTCTTTGATAGGAAAATAATAGTTCTTGGCAATATTGAGTTGATATATGAATGAAGTTACATAATAAGCTTCAACATTTAGAGTCTTTGAAAATGCAGCATATAAGAATTACAGAGTCATATGAGTGAAAAAGAAAGACTTGGCTTAAGAATATAATTAATTGCTTGAAGGTGGGAATTTTGATTTCTGTTTCTTGTAAAAATGTCAAAAAGGAGATAAAAAAAAGTCAGAAATGAAGATGGACAAAACCCACAAGAGGTTAATAGAACTTTTGGAGTTTGTATTAGTTACATTTATGCCATTGAAAGAAAATGCTGTATAGAAACTGCAATGAAAGATTCATTTGGCTTACTGTTTCAGAGGATCTCTTGGTCTGGGAAGGCTGTAGAGTTCATGGTGACAGGAACATGTGGCAGAGGCTCCTTATAGAACAGCAAGATAAGAAGCAAAGAAATTACTGGCAAGCAAAGTATACAGAAACTAACCTTCCAAGGCTCGCCCCTAGTTAGTAGGGTCCCACTGCCTAAAGGCTTCACAGAGTACTGAAGCAGCACAGCTACCCGGAGACCACACTTTCACAACGTGACTTTGTGAGAACATGCAGATTCAAATCATAATAGCGTTGGGAAGGCTGAAATTGATCTGACTGGTTCAAGAAGGCCCAGGACTCTGGAAACCATAGCTGAGCTGTTCCTCACAGCCTGGGAGGCATCAGGCAGCTCAATGGGTCTGCAATATTGGGCTGCTAGGTATGAAAAAAGAGGCAAGAGTGGGGCAGAAGATGTTACATGTGCTTGAAATGTCCCTGATTCAACTTTTTAAAAATTGATTTTATTAAGCTCTACATTTTTCTCTGCTCCCCTTCCCTTCATCCCTCTCCCAAGGTCCCCATGCTTCCAGTTTACTCAGGAGATCTTGTCTTTTTCTACTTCCCATGTAGATAAGATCCATGTATGACTCTCTTAGGGTCCTCATTGTTGTCTAGATTCTCTGGGATTGTGATTTGTGGGCTGGTTTTCTTTGCTTTATGTTTAAAAACCACTTATGAGTGAGTACATATGATAATTGTCTTTCTGGGTCTGGGTTACCTCACTCAATATGATGTTTTCTAAATCCACCCATTTGCCTGCAAATTTCAAGATGTTATTTTTTTCTGCTGTGTAGTACTCCATTGTGTGAATGTACCACATTTTCCTTATCCATTCTTTGGTCACGGGGCATTTAGGTTGTTTCCAGGTTCTGGCTATGACAAACAATGTTGCTATGAACATAGTTGAGCACATGTCCTTGTGGCACGATTGAGCATTCTTTGGCTATATACCCAAATGTGATATTGCTGGGTCTTGAGGAAGGTTGTTTTCTAATTTTCTGAAAATCGCCACACTGATATCCAAAGGAGCTGTACCAATTTGCACTCCTACCAGCAAGCAGAAGTGTTCCCTTTACCTCAGAACCACTCCAGCATAAGTTGTCATCAGTGTTTTTGATCTTGGCCATTCTGACAGGTGTAAGATGGAATCTCAGACTTGTTTTGATTTGCATTTCTCTGATGACTAAGTGTACTGAGCATTTCCTTAAGTGTCTTTCAACCATTTTAGATTCCTCTGTTGAGAGTTCTCTGTTTAGATCTGTAGTCCATTTTCTTATTGGATTATTTATTCTTTTGATGACCAGTTTCTTGAGTTCTTTGTATATTTTGGAGATCAGACCTCTGTCTGATGTGGGGTTGGTGAAGATCTTTTCCCATTCTGTAGGCTGTCATTTTGTCTTGCTGACTGTGTCCTTTGCTTTACAGAAGCTTTTCAGGAGGTTCCATTTATTAACTGTTTCTCTCAGTGTTTATGATACCGGGGTTATATTTAGGAATTGGTCTCCTGAGCCAATGCATTCAAGTGTACTTCCCACTTTCTTTTCTATGAGGTTCAGTGTGGCTGACTTTATGTTGAGGTCTTTGATCCATCTGGACTTGAGTTTTGTGCATGGTGATAGATACAGATCTATTTTCATTCTTCTACATGTTGATATCCAGTTATGCCAGCACCATTTGTGAAATGTGCTTTTTTTATCCATTTGATATTTTTTGCTTCTTTGTCAAAAATCAGGTGTTCGAAAGTGTGTGAATTAATATCCAGGTCTTCAATTCGGTTCCATTGATCCTTTTATGCCAATACCAGGCTGTTTTCAGTACTGTAGCTCTGTAGTACAGTTTGAAGTCAGGGATTGTGATGCCTCTAGAAGTTCTTTTATTGTACAGGATTGTTTTGGCTATCCTGGGTTTTTTGCTTTTTCATATGAAGTTGAGTACCGTTCTTTCAAGGTCTGTGACTATGAAAAGAATAATATATATAGAAGAACTCAAAAGCACAGAAAATATATTTAACAAAATCATAGAAAAAACTTTCCCAACCTAAAGAAAGATATACTATGAAGAAACAAGAAGCTTACAGAACACCAAATAGTCTGGATCAAAAAAAATGTCCCCTCACCACATAATAATGAAAACACTAAACATACAGAATAAAGAAAGAATATTAAGAGCTGTAAAGGAAAAAGGCCAAGTAACATGTAAAGGCAGACCTATCAGAATTACACCTGACTTCTCAATGGACACAATGAAAGCCAGAAGGTCCTTGTCAAGTGTTATGCAGACATTAAGAGACCATGGATGCCAGCCCAGACTACTGTACCCAGCAAAACTTTCAATCACTGTAGAAGGACAAAACAAGATATTCCATGACAAAATCAAATTTAACCAATACCTAGCCACAAACCCAACCCTACACAAAGTACTAGAAGGAAAACTCCAACCCACGGAAGTTGGCTACATCAACAAATACACAGACAATTGATGATCTCATAGCAGCAAATCTCAAAGAAGGGGAAAACACACAAACTAACATCACTAACAATGAAAATTAAATTAACAGGAGATAGCAATCACTGGTCATTAATATCCCTTAATATAAATGAACTCAACTCACCTATAAAAAGACACGGGCTAACAGACTGGATACAAAAACAGAATTCATCCTTCTTCTGCATACAAGAAACACATTTCAATCTCAAAGACAGACACTGCCTCAGAGTAAAGGTTTGGGAAAAAATTTTATTCAAATGAACCTAAGAAACAAGCTGGTGTAGCTTTTCTAATATCTAACAAAATAGACTTCAAACTAAAATCAATCAAAAGAGACAAAGAAGGACATTTCAAATTAGTCACAGGAAAAATACATCAAGAGGAAATCTCAACATTGAATATCTATACCCCAAATACAAGGGCACCTCATATGTAACAGAAACACTTCTAAAGCTTAAATCATACATTAAACCCCACACACTAATAGTGGGAGCCTTCAACACTCCACTCTCACCACTGGACAGGTCAGTCAGACAAAAAAATGAACAGAGATATAAGGGACCTTCTCAAAAATTGACCACATACTTGGTAACAAAACAAACCTCAACAGAAACAAACAAAAAAATTAGGAATAATCCCATGTATCTTATTGTATCACTGTGGCTTAAAACTAGAATTCAACAGCAACACTAATTCCAGAAAGCCCACAAACAAATGGAAATTAAGCAATGCTCACCTGAATCATCAATGGATCAATGAAGAAATAAAGGGAGAAATTAAAGACTTCCTAAAATTTAATGAAAATGACCACACAACATACCCCAACTTAGGAGACACAATGTAAGCACTGTGGCACTAAATGCCTACACAAAGAAGCTGGAAAAATCCCACACTAGTGAATTAACAGAACATTTGAAAACTTTAGAACATAAAGAAGTAAACTCACCCAGGAGAACTAGGTGGCAAGAAATAATCAAATTGAGAGCTGAAGTCAACAAAATAGAAACAAACAATACAAAGAATCAGTGAGACAAAGAGTTGGTTCTTCTAGAAAATCAACAAAATTGACAAACCTTTATCCAAACTAACCAAAAGGCAGAGAGAGAATATCCAAATTTACAAAATCAGAAATGAAAAGGGGGACATAACAACAAACACGGAGGAAATACAGAGGATAATCAGGTCATATTTCGAAAACCTGTACTCCACAAAATTGGAAAACTTAAAGGAAATGGACAAACTTCCTGGATAAAAAATCACTTACCAAAATTAAATCAAGACTAGATAAGCAAATTAAACAGACCTATAACTGCTAAAGAAATAGAAACAGTCATCAAAAGTCTCCCAACGAAAAAAAGCCCAGGATCAGATGTTTCAGCTCAGAATTCTATAAGACTTTCAAAGAACTAATACCCATACTCTTCATATTATTCCACACAATAGAAACAGAAGGAACACTGCCAAACTCTTTTTATGAGGCTACAATTGCCCTGATACCCAAACCACATAAAGACATTACTAAGAAAGAGAATTACAGACCAGTCTCACTCATGAACATTGATACAAAAAATATTCAACAAAATACTGGCAAATCGAATCCAAGAACACATCAGAACCATCATCCACCTGATACAACTTTTTAAACTGAGTGACTAAGCAAGAGCAGACAGCAGGTGTGG